GCTGTTTCAGTATCCTTCTGGCGCTGCCACCTGTGGGCTCCCTGTCCACCTTCTCAAGTCTTTACCACACCCCTTACCAGTTAGGTTGTGCTAAAGCTGATTCTTCTGTCTGTCCAAGGTTATAAGGCTCCTTTCTCATTATTGCTCAGTTGTTTGTTCCCGGTGATTTCTCCACAATTTAGTTGTAATTCCAGATTGGTCCTGGGAGGAGGTCAGTGTGACTTCCATTCACTCCTCTGCCATCTTGATTTCTCTCCCCAATTTCTGAATATTGACTTTGTATCCCACTATTTTGCCAAATTCACTTATTAGGTCAACTAGTTTTTTTGGTGGACACTGTAGGGTTTTCTGTGTACACTATCATGTCACCTGCAAATAATGACAGTTTTACTTCCTCCTTTCCAATTTGAATGCCTTTATTTCTTTTTCTGTCTGATCACTGTGGCTAAAACTTCAGTACTATGTTGAATAAGAATGGTGAAAGTGGACACTGTTGTCTTATTCCTGATCTTAAGGGGAGAACTTTTGGTTTTTGCCCTTTAGCATCTCTTGCAATGCTGACTTGGTGGAGATGTACTCTTTCAGCCTTCTTTTGTCTAGGAACCTCTTTAAAATGAGAGCCTTGCTAGAAAGAGTAGTCTTGGTTGTAGGTCCTTGCTTTCTGTTACCTGGAATATTTTGTGCTAGCCCCTTCCAGCTTGTATTGTTGGCTGTAGGTTTCTCATTTATGGCTTTTATTACATTGAGGTGTGCTCCCTCTGTTCCCACTTTGCTGAGTGTTTTTTATCATAAATGGGTGCTGGATTTTAACAAATGCTTTTTCAGCATCTATTTATATGACAATGTGATTTTTGTTCTTCATTTTGTTTATGTGGTGTATTACATTTATCAATTTGCAAATAGTGTACCGTCCTTGCATATCCCACTTAATAATGGTGTATGATCATTTTAATGTATTGCTGGATCTGGATTGCCAATATTTTGTTGAGGATTTTAGCATCCATGTTCATCAGAGATACTGGTCTGTAGTTTTCTTTCTTTGTTGTGTCTTTACCTGGTTTTGGAATTAGGATGATACTGGCCTCATATAAAAGTTTGGGAGTCTTCCCTCTTTTGAAATTTTTGAAATAGTTTGAGAAGGATAGGAGTTTAGTTCTTCCTTAAATATTTGGTAAAATTCACCTGTGAAGCCATCTGGTCCAGGGCTTTTGTGTGCCAGGAGTTTTTTGATTACTGCTTCAATTTCACTAGTTGTTATTGGTCTATCCAGGCTTTCTTTTGCTTCTTAATTCAGTTTTGGACAATTGTGTTTCTAGAAATTTGTTCATTTTACCCAGGTTGCCCAATTTCTTGGCATATAGTTGTTCATAATAATATCTTACAATCTTTTGTATTTCTGTGGTATCAGTTGTAACTTCTTTCATTTCGGATTTTATTTATTTGGGTCCTCTTTTTTTTTTCTTGATGAGTCTGGCTGAAGGTTTGTCAATTTTGTTTATCTTTTTAAAGAAGCAACTCCTGGATTTGTTGACCCTTTGAATTGTTCTTTTAATCTCTATGTCATTTAATTCCACTCTGATCTTGATTATTTCCTTCCTTCTGCTCTGGGCTTTGTTTTTTGTTGTCCCTCTAGTTTTTGTAGATGTTAGGTTAGATTGTTTATTTGCGATTTTTCAGTCTTCTTTAGGTATTGCTATGAGCTTCCCTCAGTATTGCCTTTGCTGTGTCCCATAGGTTTTGGGTTGTTGTGTGTTCATTTTCATTTGTTTCCCAATACTTTTTTAGTTCTTCTTTGATCTCATTGTTGACCCATTCATTATTTAAAAACATATCATTCAGTCTCCATGTATTTGAATGTTTTTGAGTTTCTTCCTTGGGGTTTGTTTCTGGATTCAGTCCCTTATGATCTGAGCACATGCTTAATATGATTTCAATGTTCTTGAATTTGTTGAGGCTTGTTTTGTGTCTTACCATGTAGTCTATCTTTGAAAATATTCTATGTGCTTTTAAAAAGAATGTATATTTTGCTCCTTTGGGACAAAAGTTTATATATCAATTAAGACCACTTGGCCTAGAGTGTCATTCAGTGCCACAATATCCTAGTTGATTCTGTGTTTGGAAGATCTGTCCATCATTGACAGTGGGGTGTTAAAATTCCTTACGAGGACTGTGTTGTTGTCAGTATCTTTCTTGAAGTCCTCCGAGATTTTCTTTATATATTTATGTGTTCCTACATTGGGTGCATAATATATTTACAAGAGTTATATCCTCCTGTTGGACTACTCCCTGAAGTATTATGTAGTGACCTTCTTTGTCCCTTTTTATGGTCTTTGTTTTGAAGTCTATTTTGTCTGCTGTAAGTGTTGGTACCCCTGCTTTCTTTTCATGTCCGTTTGCTTGGAATGTTTTTTTCCATCCCTTCACTTTCAACCTGTGTAGACCTTTTGTTCTGAGGTAGGTCTCTCGTAGACAGCGTATATGCAGGTCATGTTTTCTTATCTATTCAGCTACCCTATGTCTTTTGATTGGAGCATTTAATGCAGTTAAGTTTAAGGTTATTATTGATAGGTACTTATTCATTGCCTTTTTTTCCATACCTGTGTTTCTTTCTCTCTCTCCTTTTTATAGCAGTCCGTTTAGCATCTCTTGCAATGCTGACTTGGTGGAGATGTACTCTTTCAGCCTTCTTTTGTCTAGGAACCTCTTTATTTTGACTCTCCTTTTAAATGAGAGCCTTGCTAGAAAGAGTAGTCTTGGTTGTAGGTCCTTGCTTTCTATTACTTGGAATATTTTGTGCTAGCCCCTTCTGGCTTGTGTTGTTTCTGTTGAGAGATCTCCTGATTGCCTTATCAGAGCTCCCTTGTACGTTACTGACTGTTTCTCTCTTGCTGCCTTTAAGATTTTCTCTTTGTCTTTAAAATTTGCCATTTTAATTATTATGTGTCTTGGAGTAGGCTTCTTTGGGTTCATCTTGATTGGGACCCTCTGTGCTTCCTGAACTTGTATGACTTTTTACTTTTACCAAGTTAGGAAAGTTTTCTGTCATTACTTTGTCAAACAGGTTTTCTATCCATTGTTCCTTTTCTTCTCCTTCTGATATTCCTGTGATGTGAATGTTGTTGCATTTCATTTTGCCCTGAAGTTCCCTTAAACTATCCTTGTTCTTTTTTAGTCTTTTTTTTGTTTTGTTGCTCTGACTGGGTATTTTTTTCTAACTTGTCTTCCAGCTCACTGATTTGGTCATCTGCTTCTTCTAGCCTGCTTTTAATTCCTTCTAGTGTATTTTTAATTTCAGATATTGTATTCTTCATTTCTTCTCGTTCTTATCATAGTTTCTATGTACTTTTTCATGCTGCTAAAGTTCTTACTGAGTTCCTTGTAGCTCCCATAAAGTTCCTCGTAGTACTCACTGAGTTCCTTGAGTATCCTTATAACCATTATTTTGAATTTTATGTCTGAGAGATTGCTTGCCTCAATTTCATTTAGCTATTTTTTTCCTGGGGATTCCTCCTTTCTTTTTGTTTGGAGGTTATTTCCTTGTTGCCCCATTTTAGGTGCCTCTTTTTGTTTGTTTCTGCCTCTTAGGTTTCTCTGCTCTGATGACTGTCTGTCTTCATGGAGTGGACTTCTGTGGTAGGAGTTCTGTGGGACTCAGTGGTGCAGTCTCTTTGACCTCCTGATCTGTATGCTATAGGGTTGCCCCTTACTCAGTTTATGTGGGCTCAGTCTTACTCAGTCTTGTTGTTCTTGGGCTTTGATTATTGATGGCCCATTTGTTGGTGGGTTCTCCCCTCCAGCCAGCTGACTGGGAGTCACAACCCCTGCCATGTCTTGTATGCGCCCATTGTGAAGCACCTTCTGTCCTCCTTGGCTTCCAAACTTCATATGAGCTAAGATTTCATTAAATGATCAGTTTATTTGTTGGCAGATCAGCCGAGTATCTGAGTTGGGGGCAAGAGCAAGTAGACCCAGCTTCCACCTACCTGGCCCCCATCTTTTCTCTCTACTATTACCTTTTTAATCAGAAAAGTATAAGGGTATTCAGTTCAGAAAGAGAGACAGAAAAAGAATTTGAAGCAGCAGCAATAATAGTATGAGTAACTAAACTACAAAGATAACCTAAAATGTTGTTTCACAGTTATTTTTAATTCTAACATCCTTTTTAATAGTCGGTCTCCATGGAGCTGTTTGAGGGACCTGTGCTTTGAAAACTGAATAGGATTTAGATAGATGGTGGAAAAAAGAGGTGTTCCAAATAAAAGGAACAACATAAATTAAACCATGGAGGCAGAAGTAAATCTAGTGAAGTGGACTTGGCTGGATGAGGCATGTACACTGGAAAAAGTAGGAAATAAGCTGGACATGTCGGTTGAGGATGGTCTTTGGAGAACACAGCAGAGGATAAATAGGGTGATTACAAGTAACATTGGTATTTTGAGAAAAATGTCAAAAGGAGAATGATACGTAGCAGTCTCCAATAAAGTTTTTTTTTAAGGAAGCATATTAAGTTACTAACAAAGGGGAAATTGTTGAGCAAATTAGGGTTTTGACACATGACAGAATACTAATATTGAATATAATCATTTTTGAAGGCTACATGGAAAAATATGAAAATTATGGGTAAAAAATTATTTGAAAGCACATAAAATTCTAATTATTACAACTATTAAAAGAAATGTGCATGTGAAAAGACTAAAAAGGAATTAAAAATTAAGAGATTTGAAAACGAGTGATTATTTTTCTTTTTTGAATATCCTTATTATTGTTGTCATTCTCTATAATACTTTTAAAGAGGTAAGTGTTAGTAGATCAGAGAATTAGCATAGGCTTTTCAAGGCTTTCTGGAGGCAAACTAGGGGCTGAGGGCCACGTGCTGCTGGGAGGAAGGAGGCCTTACACTTTGGGATGTGTGACCCAAGAGAATGGGGCCCCATTCCAGGGCCCGCTGGTCCTTTGCTCTGCAGTCCTGAGATGAGGAAAAGTCCTTTCTTGCCTTCCAGGGTCTCCTCATGCTGCTACAAAACCTACCTACGATACACTGGGGCAACGAAGAGATTGGGCTGCTGCTCGCCGAGGCGTACAGACTCAAGTATATGTTTGCCGACGCCCCCAATCACTACCGCCGATAGGTGCTGTCTCCTCTTGGGGACCCAGACTGCCCCCACCTCAGATGGTGATCTGATCACTGTGGACACTGTGCGAGCTGTGGACCCCGGCCAGGAGCCATTCCTGCTGTAGAAAGCTCACATCCGCCGCCCAGGTCTTAACTTTTCGGCGTGCCTATCCACCATTTCATGTCTCCAGTGGGTCTCCTGGACCACTGTCAGTATTCCATGCCACGTGGATGGGCCCAGCTCTGGGAGAGGACTGAAAAGGAGGTACAGGGTTGTCTGCCCCTTTAAAAGAAACTGGACAAATGAAGGGGAAGGCTCAGGGTCTTAACTCACATTGTCCCTCCATGGACTAGCTGTCTCTTGCCTCCCAGCTCCAACTGATACTGTTGCTTTTTGTGACGTGGTTTGATTTGATCACAGGTCAGAAACGCCTTATGTTTTCAAAATACTCCTGGCCCCTCTCCCCTGTTCCCAGTTCCTAGCCCTTTTACCTTCTGCCCTGGTCGGAGCCAGTGAGGGGCAGCTTTTTAAGACCATTGTTCTCAGACGGAGGAGGCACTGATGCTTATAACTCTGGGAAGAGGCCTGCACCCAAGGGCTAGGGATTTTATTTTTCCTTTGTCACCAGTATGTGAATGTGCATTTGTGTGCATGGGTGGGTATACACACCCAACATTTAGCTACATGTCTGAATCTCTCTGTCCAGAATAGCCCCCTCAGCTGGGAAAGGCCCCAGTGACTAAGTGTACAAGTGTCCCTTGAGAAGGATCAGGGCACGGGAGGGAGGAGGGGCTTTTTACCTCTCCCAATCCTTTTTCCATGATGACCCACTCCAAGATATTATGTGTAAATTGTGTTATTATGTATATGGGTAAAGATGTACAAATATATGTCCTGTTTGTAGCAGATATGATTTTTATATTTATAACGTGCATCAACATGTGAAAGCAATCCAGGTCACTAGCACAGGTGAAGTTGCCAGGGAGGTAGCTTCAGCACCTCCAGGTTGGTCTTTGGTTGCCCTCCTGTGAGGGAAGTGCATGGGTGTCTGTCAGCATGAGCGTCACTGAGCAGATGCAGCTGCTTTGAAACCAGCGGCAGCCATCCCAAACATCAGTGTCTCAGAGTTTTTCTTCCGCTCCCTCCCCTCCTGCTCTGGAGCTTGGTGGAGCACCTGCCCTGCTCCTTCCCGTCTTCAGACAGAGCTCCCCACCCTCCACCCCTAGCAGCCTCCCAGAGAGAGGATCACAAAGGCAGAAGCCCTTCTGCATGTTTTTAGCCCTTGCCTTTCCCCCAGAATCTGAGGAGGGCTTTTGTTTTTACATTTTTAAGTCAGCATTGTATTCAAGCTAGAAGCTGTGACTGACTCTCAGTGCCAAGAAAAGGGGTTTCCCATGTGTCCCTGAGGTTTGGGGCTCTTCTCAGAGAAAGGCATCCAGTGTCCCCCGCTATTCTGATCATACCTCACCCAGCTCATGAGCTGTGTGACGATGATCGATTTTTTGTGTTTGGTAGTGGAGAAGTGGGGGATGGTGGCAAGCAGCTGTCATCTTCTTGAGAAGCCAGGCCATGTCCCCAGTGGGTGACACCCTTGAGTTTCTGTCAGCGGAGCTCCTCCACGCAGGCATGTTATATTTCTCATCGGGAGCTGTTTCTCAGGCATTCTTCCTAACCCTGCGCCTCCTCTTCAGTGTGCCTCAGTCTCCTCCTCAGAGAGGGCTCGTGACCTGTCCTCGGCTGGACTGAAGAAAGACATTTGTGTTCCCAAATGGTGGTTTTATTTTTTTAGTTTTTATGTTTGTATGGGAAATTGTGGATAAAGTGAAAGAATTGTAAATAAATAGTGTACTTCCTCCTCCACTGCTGGTTTTCCTCCCATGGATTTGTATAACCTGGAACCTAAGGCATCTCTTTTTTCAGGTTTTTCCTGTTAATACTAGTGAGTCCGGGAACAAGCCTTCTGTAAGGTGAGCAGGGATCAACAGAAGATCAAAAGGCGGCCTCAGAGGACGTCAGCAGACCCTCGTGGAGCACCGTCTGTGTGAAGGAAACTGGAAACCATGAAAATGAGTGGCAACATGGTGCCTAATAGCTGACAGAGCACCTTGCCACATGCCAAACACTGGGATAAGCACTTTCCATGAATTGATTTATTAGAAAGGAGTATATAATGTAATGGAGGTTAGAAAACAGACTAGAATTTTAGTGCTGGACTAGATATCTAGGTCAACACCGTCATTGTCCAACCCAAGACCAAGTCCAGAGGATAGGCCTCTGGCTTGCCTGCATGGTGTTTTTCCCAACAAACCATGTAGAACTAAAATGTGTTCAAAGAATGACCCTCCCTTAAGGGTCTTCATTAAGCCTTTTTTGGTGGTTGGTTGGTTTTTCTCCTAGTAACCTGACTCAATAAAGGCAGCTGACTGCAGTTTTATCTACAGTATAGACTGGAATGGTTTCTTCACCTGAAACTGCTTCCCAGGATGCACTTGAGAGTGTTTCTTGGTTTTAGTCATTAGGATTAAGTTCAGCACCTGTAACTGAAACCAAAAATAACTGGCTCACACAACGTGGGGATTTACTTCTCCCTCACATAGATGTCCAAAAGTAGGCAACCCAGAGCTAGTATGATGAGTGTTTCTCAAAGACTGTAATTCTTCTCTAGGTCTTCATGGTCAAGACGACAACTAGCACTCCAGCTACTACATCCACTTTCCAAGAAACAGGATGGATTAAAGAAGGGACAAAGGAAAAAGAATGAAGGATACGTACCAGCAGTGTTTTAAGGAAGGTTCTAGGAAGCTGTCCCATAATATCTCCTCTTACAGCTCACAGGTCAAAACTCAGTCCCATGGTAGGTCACCCCTAGTTGCAAGGGAAGTTGGGGGATTAGTCAGTTCCAGGCAGCCATATACCTTGGCTCAAAACCAGGATTCTGTTACTATGGAGGAAGGGGAGAACAGATATTAGGATTCAGGTAGCAATCGCTGCAATAAGAATTTAAGAAAATGAGTTGAAAATAGAGACCAGACTTTTCCTATAAGCATATAGAAGGGATTTGACTTTGAAATTCAAGTAACTGTTCACAGTTAACCTTGGAATTTAAGCATTGTCGTAAAGCGCAGGCAGTATTTCAACTTGACATTATTTGGCCTTGAGGCCATTAGTTGTACCTGAGGCTGGTAGAAAAAATAATCTGAATTACTCTTCATTCAAAATTCTGTTTTTCATTTATGTAGGAAGTCAAGCATTCTTCTGAAATATGTTTGATCATGATTAGAAAATTGATAAAAACTTTCCATTTCTAATTCTGGCATACTCTGACCTACCACCGATCCAATGTTTCTGTAATCTAAATCTCTATACAGTTCTACTTAAATAGGCCCTACATCAGCTTTTATTCATCTGTGAAGTAAAATTACTCAAATAGTGACCTCATTTGCTTCTTGCAGCAAGAGCCTCTTGCTTAAAGTATTTGGCTTGTTTTTTGGATTGACTTTGTATGTCCAGTATCTTTATAAAGCTTTAAGAATGGAGTCGGAAACTAAGCCCTAGTAACTGAGCCCTTGATACCTCTTCTTGGGACTTCTGAAACTCAGTTCTCAGCTGGAAATTCTCTGAAGGTGAAATGAAGGTTCAGTGACCACCAAACCAAGAAGATATCTTGAGACCAAAAAATGTAGCAGGCAATTATGGGTAATCCAAAATTATAACAATTTATTATAGAATAAGTTACTTACAATAGTTACCATAAGTGTTTTATAGTATAGCTGGACTACTAATGGTCGACACGACAAAGGGACGATACTTCCTCGTGGTCTTATGATGGATATTTGCTTACAATTGACACAACCACCTAGTTTGATGTTTATCTCTGTTGCTATGCCATTCTGGTTTCTTACCGACAGGATTCTTTATGGTTACATTGTGTAAATTTACAGGACACAACTAATCTTTATGAGGCTTTGGTGCTGGCTGGACTGGTTAGGTCAGATTCAGAACACCGAAATTCGAAAGAAACCAGGGGGCACATGAGGATGGAGTCAGCTGTGTTTACATCTGCGTCTCTGCAGAGTTTAGAGGCTGCCACAGGCACCAGAGGATTTTAGATTCTTGAGGAAAAAGACAAAGTTAACACAGAATCAGAACAGTTTACAGTCTATGTACAGCTAGTATCACTTCAAGTAAAATGTAGAAGCCTTACAACCATATAGACCCTTTTACCCTCCCCCTTTTACATTATAGTTGTTTTATGAATTATGTGGACATACACTGAAAACCTGACCAGGTACTCTTACAATTTTTGCTCTCATTAGTTACACATATTTAAAAGAACTTAAGAGAATACATTCTCCACTTATGTTTCTCCTTCATTTCCTAAGCTTTCCTCTGCTGTTATTTTCCTTCAAAAAACTTTCTTGATCATTTCTCATATAGCAGGTATGCTAACCATTCTCTTCATTTTCCTTATTCTGAGAATTGTCTTTACTTTGCCTTTATCCCTTCATATATTTTCTCTGGATATAGTTATTTTCCTCTGGCACTTTAAGGATGTTTCACTATCTTCTTCCTTCCACAGTTTCTGATGAGAAATCCAGAGTCATCAAGATCATTGTTCTATGGTCATCATTTTTCTCACACTGCTTTTCTAAGAAAATGTGGCAAAATTTGCCATGGTAATCATTTTTAAACATACAGTTCAGTAATGTTAAGTACATTCACATTGTTTGCAACTATCACCACCACCTCCAGAACTCATCTTACAAAACTGAAACTCTGTACTAATTAAACAGCAGCTCCCTATTTTCCCCTACCCCCAGCCCTGACAATTGCCCTTCCACTTTATGTGTCCATGAATTTGACCACTTTAGGTCCCTCATATAAATGGAATCATACAGTATTTGTTTTTTTGTGTCTGGCTTATTTTGTTTAACATATGTTCTCAAGGTTCATCCATGTTGTCACATATATCAGAGTTTTTTAAGGCTGGATAATATTCTATCGTATGTATATATCACATTTTGGTTTTCCATTTATCTGTTAATGGTCAGTTGGCTTACTTCTACTTTTGGCTATTGTGAATAATGCTACTAAGACCATGGGTATACAAATATCTCTTTGAGACCCTGCTTTCAGTCCTTTTGGGTGTATAGCCAGAAGTCTACATGCTGAATCATGTTAATTCTATTTTTAATAATCTGAAGAACCACCATATTTTTTCTCAGACCACTTTTAAGATTTTTTTTTCCTTTGGGTTTCAGAAGTTTGATTATATGTCTTGAGTGTGGGTTGTATTACTTTTTGTGTGTTTGTTTTGGAGGGTTTTTGTTTGTTTTGCATTTAGGGTTCACTGAATTTCTTAAATCTGTAATTTTTGTCTTTCACCAAAGTTTGAGAAGCTTTTAGCTATTATTTCCTCAAATACGTACTTTTTTTTCCTGCAACAATCTCTTATTGCTCCCTTGGGACTCCAATGATATGAAAGTTGGACCCACAGTCCCTAAGTCTGTGTTCATTATTTCTTCAGTCTTTTTTCCCCATTCTTCAGATTATTTTCTCTTCATCTATCTTCCAAGTTCATTAACTCCTTTTCTGTTATTCCATTTACTGTTAAACCCATACAGTGATTTTTAAATTTTAAATATTGATCAACTATTTCCATTTTCCTTCATTTCAAGTGTGTTTACTTTTACCTCATGAAGCATAATTATAATATGTGTTTTAAATCTTTGTTTGATAATTCCAGTCTGGATCATATTGGGGTTGGCATCTTTCTATCATCTTGTCTCATTAAAATTGATCACAAACTTTCTATCATCTTGTCTCATTAAAATTGATCACATCCTGGAAATTTTTAGTATAATGGGTGAGACTCTGGATCTTATTAAAACCCTCTAGAACAGGGGTCAGCGAACTATGGCCTTCAGGCTATTATTATAAATAAAGTTTCATTGTCCCAGGTTTTGGCATCAGAAAAAGTTTTATTGGAACTCCACCATGCCCATTTGTTTACATATTGTCCATGGCTGCTTTGCACAACAGCAGAAATGAATAGTCGTGATAGGGCATATGGCTTTATATTTACTACCTGACCCTTTATGAAATGTTTTCTGACCGCTGCTCTAGAAAGTGTTGACTTTGTTTTGTTTGAGCAGTCAGTCGGTCCTGTTCAAACTGCAAGCTCTGTCTCATCTTCTATGGGCCACTATTCCAATGCCATTTTAGTTTTCAGAGGCTTTGCTATGCTGCTTTGGATTTGTTTTGACCATGAAAAACTTGTGCAATGTCATACACAGAATTAGGGGATCCCTTCTCTAGCTGGCTTCTCTCTGGGATTCCCCCTGCAGTCTGGCTCACAGGTGCTGTGTTTCCTCATCAACTAGCCAGAATGATATTGTCTCTCTTGAAATTTCTGCCTGTAACCGCTGCCAACACGGCTCCATAATTGAGGCCTTCCCTTGACACAGGCCTGGGAGAGAGAGAAAAAATTTCAATTGTAATTTGCCCTCCCAACTTTCTGGCTTGCGTGGACTCTTTCCCCCAAGTCCTCTGGTAAGACAGATGGGTTTGTGACATAATAAGAAATGCATGCTTGGTCTCTGCCCTCAGTTCCTGACATAGAGCTCCTAAAACCCTTGGGATTTCCTGAGAGATAGGGGTGACTCTTGGCAAGTTCCTGGACTGTTTCAGGATTGGGGTGGTCAACAAAAGACCAAACCACGATCAGAAAAAGCTGGAAATTATCAGGTCTACCCCACCCCCATCCTCAGAGGAGGAAAGAAGGGTTGGCGATGGAGTTAATAATCAGTTGTGCCTATGTGATGAAGCTTCCATTCAAAAACCTCTTACCGAA